AAAAAAAAAAGGTAAAATATCAAGCCAGGTGTGGTGCTATACACCTTTAGTCCCAGCACTTGGGAGGCAGAGGCAGGTGGATCTCTGTGAGTTCAAGACCAATCTGGTCTACAAAGTGAGTTCCAGGCCAGTTGGAGCTACAAGAAGACCCTGTCTCAAAAAGACCCTCCAAAAGACCCTGTCTCAAAAAGACCCCCCAAAAAGGGAAAATATCAATCCAAACCTTTCCTGATAAGTTTTTATTTTTAATACAGCAAAGGGAGATTGGTAGAAAATTCAAAGGTCAGAGAGCAACATCATCAGAGGCATAAACCCTGGAATCAGCAATGTTGCTTGAATGCACATGCACATTACAGAAGGAAACCTGACACTGCACGTGAAGTAGTTCACAGTCTACCATTCCATACATGTTCCACATTGGCACTTAAAAAACGTACCTGACCAATCTGAGCCTTCACTTCCTCACATAAATGTGAGGAAGTGATAATCTGCTTAAACATAGCTGCCCCAAGTTAAATGGTAATGATTCAGGTATCTGCACTTCAAGTTCTAGCTATTAATTTTAGAGAGGTACATATAGAGTCTCACAAACAAGATGGTAAAATATACTACTGTGAGGCTGGCAAGATGGCTCAGTGGGTTAAAGCACTTGCTACCAAGCCAGACAACTTGAGTTCAAGCCTCAAGACCAATTCCTACACACTGCCTTCTGACCTCCGTATGTATGCTATGGCACAATCACCCATACACACGATTAAAAAATAAATATAGCCAGGCATGGTGGCGTACTCCTTTGATCCCAGCACTCAGAAGGCAGAGGCAGGCGGATCTCTGTGAGTTCAAGGCCAGCCTGGTCCACATAGTGAGTTCCAGGACAGCTGGGGTACAGGGAGACCCTGTCTCAAAAAGGCCAAAAAAAAAAAAAATAAAGTAATACAAACACACATACTATTGCTTCCAATGTCCCACCGGGCACACAATCTAACAAATACTCTTAAGCAGGAAAAATGAACTGTGTTTAAGAGGACTTGGACTTGGTTTTATCATTTCTCTACCTTTGTACTAAAATCAAATATAAGAGGATTTTTTTTTTAAAGTTTTTTGTTGTTGTTGTTCTTTTTGAGACTGGGTCTCCCTTTAGCCTCAGCTGGCCTGGAGCTCTCTATGAAGAACAGGCTGGCCTCGAACTCATAAGAGATCCACCTCTGCCTCCTGAGTGCTGGGATCAAAGGTGTGTGCCACCACAGCCAGCTAAAAAAAAGTTTTTAAAAGAGGACTCAGTTTTATACCATCAATTGTATGACTTCAGATCTATCTTTCCCCATTTCTTCACTATCTGTCAAACGTTTTGGTTAGGTATGGTGGTCTGTCTATACCTTTATTCCTAGCACTTGGAAGGCAGAGGAAATTCGAAGCCAACCTAGTCAGCAGAACAAGAGCCAAGCCAGTCAGAACTACATAGAGACACACTGTCTCAACTCTAAGGGCCTGTTTATTTTTTGTTTGGGGGTTTTGCTTAATTTTTTGTGAATGTATACATGAAAGTGTATGTGAGAACACATGCCATGAAGCATGTGGAGGTCAGAGGAAAACTTTGTGGAGTCTGTTCTCTTCCACCTTAATATGGAGCCTGAAATCTAATTCAGGTTACCAGGCTTGTGTAGCAACTTTATTTGCTGAGCCTTCTTGTCAGCCCATTTAGTTCTGTTTTGTTGAGGTAAGAATCCCATGTAGCCCAGGTTGTCCTCAAACTAGATGGATGACCCTGAACTTTTTAAAGTGATTTTTAAAATATTTTAGTTATTTGTGTTTTGACTGCATGGATATATGTGCACTTACGTGCATGCAGTGCCTGCAGAAGCCAGAAGAGAACTGGAGTTATGAAGGGTTGTTAGTCACCATGTGGGTGCTGGAAACCAAACCCAGATTCTCTGCAGGAGCAGCCAGTGCTCTTAATTGCTGAGCCATCTCTCCAGTCCCAGCCCTGAACTTTTAATTCTCTTACCTCCACCTACCAAGTGCTGGGATTTGTGTGTGTGTTTGTGTGTGTGTGTGTGTGTATGAGCACATGAGTGAAAGTGCCCATGGAGGCCAGAAGAGAATGCTGATCTCCTGAAGCTGGAGTTATAGGCATTTGTGCTATGAATTTGTGCATATATGGGTGCTTGAATTTGTGCATATATGGGTGCTGGAATTTGAACTCTGGTCCTGTGACAGAGCAAGTGCTCTTAATAGCTGAGCCATCTCTCCAGCTCCTAAGGGCTTTTCTGAACTAGATATTATGTGATTTCTGAGAACAGTCAAATAAAGACAGAGTCTCATTATGTAGCCCTAGCTGGCCTGGAATTCCCAGAGATCTGCCTGCTTCTGCCTCCCTAATGCTGGGATTAAAGGCAAGCACCACCATGCCCTGCTAAATACATCCTTATTTCTAGTCCACTTTCCCACACACATTATCCTCAGAAATTCTACAATTGTTTGTTTTGAGCTTAGTGGGGGGGGGGAGTGTCTGTTTTGTACTGAAGACAACTTTCTGCTTGCTAGGCAAGCATTCTACCTCTGAACCCCTAGACTTTTTGTTAAGATTTTTATTTTGAGACAGGTCTAACTTGCCCAGGCAGTTAGAATTTGTGATCCTCCGGCCTGAGACTCCTGAGCGGCTGCAATTACAAACTTGGGCCACCAGGTCCCGTAGTGTTCGTCACTCTCTGGACTACCTGCATTAACAGGGATGGAAAGCCCTAAAATTTCTGGGTGAGGCCTAAACCAAGGCATGCTGCAGATCTTCACGAACCAGCTCCCACTTTTCAGGTTGATCCCTCTTTAGGAACACCAATCTCGTTGGTCACGATCCCAGCACACAGCAGGCAGAAGCGTCGGATGTGGATGCTAATTCCCGCCGGTCACTCCTTACGGTCGTTTAGCTTTGACTTTAACTTTCTCAAGAAAGGCTAGGTACTTAACACATATCACCTCAATTACCCACTGAAACCTTGCAGGATGTCCCCAAGGAAGGGGGAGCAGCCAGTGTCCTTCGGGTGGAGAGAATGGCAATCTCCCCTAAGCGAGACTCCGCATCCCCCCGACCCAAGCCACCCCGGCGTCCGGCCCCCCGTATGCGGGTATTGACACTCGGCAGACACACGCGGCCCGAACGCGGACGCTGGACCGGCAAGGGGACAGGAGCCTCCAGCCGGCGCTGGTGCTGACTGTGCGGGCCTACCTGGCTTCGCTCTCGGTGTTCCCGCTGCCGGGACTTCGCTGCCTTGCGAAAAGCCGCCGCCATGCCTACAGAGCTCCAGAAAAAACTCAGCGAACACCAGCGAAGTCGCACAGCGCGGTGTCAGAGGAGGCTACCGGAAACAGGCCCAGGGGCTTTCACGGCCACCTCCGCGAGACAGCCTATCAGAAGCTTTCCTTTCCGGAAATCCATCCCTCCGCCGAAGAGGCCCCGACAGGTGGTTTCTGGGAGATGTAGTTTCCTACGCAGAGTCTCGTGACCCCTGGAGAGCCTGCTTCTATTCGCCGAGCGGGTCCACAAGTCCTGAGACCTAGCCTTTGCGCTCTGCCGCGCGTTGGCACCTGGGAACACGTGGCTGGCACTGCCCTCTGCCTGAGCTGGGCTTGGCATCTGCGCATTTGCAGTCACCTGGGCCTGGACCCCCGGTTGCAGTACTTAACGCGGTACATTTAAAGTAGAGTGAAGGGTTTTGTTTTTTTGGTTTTTTTGTTTTTTTTTTTTGGTACATCAAGGAAAAGAAGGATGTGTATGCACATACAAATACTCATTTTTGATCTTTTTCTTGCATAATGTAGAGCAATTACATGTCAGAGATATCTAGTTCTGTCATGGATTTATTGTAGGACAAAAATCTTTTGAGACAGGGTCTCACTGTAGCCCCAGCTGGCCTGGAACTCTTTATGTAGACCAGGCTGGCCTTGATGAAGTAGAGTGAGTTTTACAGTGTACTTTTAAAAAGAGCGCTTTCATACCACATCTAGCTCTGCTCCTGACTTACTTGGCCATGTGACTTTGGGCAGATTTCTTGATTTTAATGAGCATCGTTTTTCTTACCCATCAAACGAGGATAATAATAGCATGCAGTTCTTGCTCATAGTACTGTAAAGAGCAGAGTTGAAGAACTGTATCTGTAAGTGACATAGAAGAGAATCATCTAATGGCAGTAAAGTTCTAAGTCCTTCACACCCATCAAAGAAATGGCTGGTTGGCAGACTGAGTCATGGGTAGCAATGGGCAGTGCCATGAACCTGGGAGAGGTGTTCAGATCCCGGCTCAGTACTTAGCCAAGGAAGATTAGCTTTGCTGAGGCGTGATCTTCCCCATCTGTATGTAAAACCCACAGGATTGTGAGGATTAAATGACATAATAAGGTTAAAGTACTTACTGCTATATTTATTTACTTATTAAAAGGGTCCCGGTTTGGTTTGGTTTTTTTTGAGACAGGATTTAGCTGTGTAGCTCTGGCTAGCCTGGAACTCACTAGACCAAGCTGGCCTCAAACTCATGGTGATCCTCTTCTACAGAGTGCTGGGATTACAAGTGTACACCACCATGCCCAGCTATCATTGTTATTTTTATCATTGCTAAACCTGCCCCTTAAGTAGCACAAGAGAGAGTTGGAAACAGCAAAACATCACAGCAGTGTTTACCTCTCCTCTCTGTCTCTCTCTCTCTCTGTCTCTCTGTCTCTCTCTCTCTTTCTCTCTTTCTCTCACTCATTTGTTGGCATTTGGTTTCTTTTCCATTATGTAAAACTGATCTTCATCAAGCTCTTTACTTGCATTCATTTCTCATGACAGCAGTCACCTTTCTGGCTGAAGAACCTCAGGGAATTCCTCTTCAGACAGAGGACCAGTGGTCATAAAAGAGGTCAGAGTAGCTGAGATCTGTGTGAAAAGTTTTTTCCTGCCCCTGTACATTTGATTTTGCCCAGTAAGGGCCACATGCATTAACAAAGTTCCATTTTGTTTCTCATCTTTGGAAGATAAGTGCCTTCATGATCTAGCCTGGGACCACATTCCCAGCCTCATCTCAAGAAGCTCAGCCATTGGGTGGGGGACCAGGTTGCAGCTGCATCTACTCCTGCTTCGTCCCCCTGAAGAAGTGTTGAGTGGACCGGTGGATGAGTCAGAGGAAGCTTTCCCTATACACTAGAGGTTGGGGGGCTCTGAAGTCAGCCCTAGATTGGGATTGTACAACCACCACCTATTGGCTTGTGATTTGTAGCCACATCTTAAAAATCTCTGTAAAGTGGGAGCAATAACCAGCTCACATAGGCCTTTAAAAACTAAAATAGGCTAGACATGGTAGCACACGCCTTTAATCCCAGCACTCGAGGCAGAGGCACACAGATCTCTGTGAGTTCGAGGTCAGCCTAGTCTCCATACTGAATCCAGGCCAGCTGTGGCTACAGAGAGACCTCATCTCAAAAAGACAAAAAAAAGAAAAAGAAAAAGTAAACTGAAATAGGTAATAACTTGCACAAGTGTGGTGTCCTACACAGAGCATACTACTCCCTTGAGGGCTTGAGAACACAATGTTTCTAGGCAATTTGAAAGGAGGTGTTTGCTAAGCTTGAGGCCTGCAAGGGCTCTAGGCATTGCAGTGGTGAGGCTGAGCAATATACCCAGGGAAGGAAAGATGATTTAATTTTTCTCACTAGGAGGAAGGAGGCCTTGTGGTTGCAGGCACCAAGAGTGATTCAGTACCCAGAGGAAACCATGAGTGGTCAGGCAGAAGTCATCCATATCCTCCTTTTGAAAATTCCTGCAAAAGGAAAGGACAAGCTGGTGGGGGGGGGGGGCATAAGCAGGAGATCTGGGAGGCCGTATAGAGACCTCCTGGGTCAGGAAGGAACAACCACATCCCACTTAACCCAAAGCCCAACCTCAAGCACTTAGGCTCTGCTTCCAACTTTGGCTCAGACACACCTGTTTCCCAAGAAGGGGGGGAAGACAGATGGGGAACAGGGAGTCCAGGTGGCTGATCCCTGAACTCCCTGGGGCACATCTTCCTGGGCCAATGGAAATAAAGTGAGCAGGGAAATGTGAGCCCACTAGAGAGCTGAAAATGGAGAGGGGAAGGACACAGTCCTCCTGTCTTGGTCCAGAGTCCCTCCCTCAGGCTGGCCAGAGCCAAAGGTCTCTTAACTTTCTCTGACCTCTAGACTCCAAGTCCAAACAGCAGAACCTTAACACTTGACCATGAAAGGGAAGGAGAAAAGTCCCCACCACACACTGAAGACTTACTGCATACTCTTATCCTGTCCTTAACAGCATCATTGAGGAGAAGACTGGCTTAAGAGGTTCAGTGACTATATGCTGTCCAGCCTCATGCTTAGGATCATTTTTGGCATGAGGGGCTTTGAAATTTGACAGTATGGGTTTCAATCTTGACTTTGCCATTATTGTCTGTGTCACTTTGGCAACTTATTTAATATATCTGTATCCCCACTTCTCATCTCATCAAACAGGGATTGAAAATATGAGTTTAGGGGGCTGGAGAGATGGCTCAGCGGTTAAGAGCACTGATTGCTCTTGGAGAGGACCTTCCCAGCATCCACATGGTAGCTATGAGCCGTCCTTAACTCCAGTTCCAGGGGAACCTGAGCCCTCTTCTGACATCTGTGGCATTGCACGACACAGGTGCACTCACATACATGCAGGCAATACACTTTTACACATAAAATAAAAACAATAAAATTTTAAAAAGAAAAGAAAATATGTGTTTAGGGCCAATGAGATGGCTAGTGATTAAAAGAAGTTGCCTTGCACACCTGATGACTTTAGTTCAATCCCTGGAACTCACGGTGGAAGAAAAGAACCAACTCCAGGGCCAGTAAGCTCAGTGGGTTAAGATGCTTGCTACCAAGCATATATGGAAATCATCTAGTGGAAGGAGAGAACTGACTTCCACAATTTGTCCCCTTGACCTCCACTGTGTACTGTAGTATGAGTGTGTGTGTGCTCTAAAATCAATTTAATTTTTTATTTTTTTTGGTCTTTTTGAGACAGGGTCTCCTTGTAGCCCCAGCTGTCCTGGAACTCACTATGTAGACCAGGCTGGCCTTGAACTCAGAGATCCGCCTGCCTCTGCCTCCCGAGTGCTGGGATCAAAGGCATGCGCCACCACGCCTGGCTAAAATCAATATAATTTTTAAAGTTTTTTATTATTTTTACTTATGTGTGTCACTGTGTCTGTGTGAATGAATGCCATGTGTGTGCCAATGTCTGAGGACGGATGAGGGTATCAGATCCCTTGGAGCTGGAGTAACAGGCAGTTGTGAGCCCACTGATGTGGTTGCTGGATACCAAACTCAGGTAGTCTGTAAGAGCAACAAGCCCTCTTACCTGCTGAGCCATCTCTCCAGTCCACCTAAAAAAATTTTTGAAAAGAGAGCCGACTCTACAGAACGTTGTCCTCTAACCTCCACAAAAACTCACTTGTGCACATGCACCCACATACACATGAGCTCACACACATGAACACATATACATGCATACCACACATGCATTCACCTCATTCCAGAACAGATCCACACTTGCTGTCTCCTCCACCCAGTAATAGTCTTCCTTGTGTCCTTCAAGGTGGGAGTCCCCTGTACCTGAGCGACAAATCCCAGAAGGGCGTACCCTCAGACCGGCTGTTCACCCACTGGACTCCTGATGATAGCAGGTGCCTAGCTGAGGGGGTATCCAAAGTGAAGCAGTGCATGTCATTCATTCATTCATCAGATATTCATTGCATGCCAAACACTAAAGTAGATCAGTGGGAATGGAGTGCTGAATATGAACAGCCCAACGTTTGCCTTTATGGCACTTGCACTTTAGGAATCAACAGAATAATAATCAGTTAAATTCTTATTTACTTCTTTTTATTTTATGAGTGTTTTGCCTGCATATATGTAATTGCACCTGTGTGTACAATGCCCATGGAGGCCAGAAGAGGGGGGTCAGATCTGGAATTAGAGTTATAGTTGGTTGTTAGCTGCCATGTGGGTGTTGGGAACCAAACCCTGGTTCTTTGCGAGGGCAACCAGTACTTGTACTTGTACCAGTACTTGTAATGGCTAAGCCGTCTCTGCAGCCCCAATAAGCAATCATTTAATTTTGAAAGAAAACATAGCCTGGAGACTGACTTGGGACCCAGGAACCAGATACATGATATAGAAGGGGAGGGTCTTAAGGAGTCTCTGTCTTGGAGGGTCTTAATCCCTACAGCTCAGGTTTGGCTGAATGCAGTCTGGTGTGTTAGGGGAGACTCTTTGGGCCTTGGATCCTAAACTGAGATGCTGAGGTTATTTCCAGGGTTAGTTTGTTGTCTCTTGTTTTGCAAACAGCACAGCAGAGTTCCACACCCCCACCCCCTCCAGATCAAGGCTATTTATTCCTAGTGACAAGCCTGAGGATCCCAAGGGAGGTGGCCTCAAGGACCTGGAGGGGCCTGTGTCCCTGGCAGGTGCCAGCCCTTCCTCCTGGCAGAGGGTAGAAACCAGAGGATCAGAAACTGCACAAATCCCCACCCTTCTCCACCACCCCTGCCTGCAGCAATCCAGCCACTTACAATCCTCTCTTCACCCACCCCCACCCCCACCCCCGCCCAAAAACCTAAAGCTCATGGGGCTAAGGATTAGGGTCTCCCAGGGCCTGAAAGGTCAAAACTATTCCTAGGCACTGTGGAAACCAAGGCAGGGCTCCTCAGTGCCAGAACATAGCTGGAGAAAGGTGGTTGCCCAGGCTTCTGCCACTCAGTTATAGAATAAATCACTTTGAAAGTGAGGGGGATAGGGAGGACTTTCTCTTCACCCCAAGTTTCTAGAAAATACCCTGATCCGCCCCTGACAGAGTCATGGCCAGAGTTTCAAAACCACCCCTTCCCGCAGGCTGGATTAAGGCCTCCTTTACAAACCAGAGTTTAGGGTAACCCCTGGGATTGTGCTAGCCGGCGCAGATCAGGGGACTTGGTGTCCACATGGACCCTGGTCCGCTGAGTCCTGCACTCCTGGCCCGAGTGGGACTGCCTCTAGCGCTCTGCGCCGCCGGCATCCGAGGGGCACCGCGGGGCCAGCCAAGCGCAGGGAGCCGGCAGGGCGGGGAACGCAGGAGAGCCAGGTTCGGCTGCGCCGGGCTCCTAGCGGCCAGGAGGGGGGCGGGGTCTGGCCCCCGTTTTTGCGCACTTCCTCGGAGGATTGGGGCCGAGTGCCCACTCGCCCACACAGTCGGTCGCAACCGGCTGCGTCTCCGCGGCTCGCTCGGCCCAGCTGCGCCCAGCCCGCAGGTAGGAGCCGCCGGCTTACCGATCCCCGGCCCCACCCACGCGTGCGCCCGGATCCCTCGCCCACCTCGAGGTGAGCGCCCCCTCCCCAGTGCCCGTGCCCCCCTCCGGCCCGGGTGGTGACCCCGGCCCCTGGTCCCGTGTCCCCTGCGCCGCCCGCTCTGCCTGGGCGCCCCGGGTATCCGAAGCCGGAGACCACGCGCGCCAGCCGGGACCTTACGGCTCCGCGCCTCCTGGCCGCGCGGGGGCTGCCGCGGGAGCTGAGCGGGGGAGGGGACCAAGCTTGAACTCGAAAAGCCAGAGAGACCAGAGGGTTGAAGAAACTGAGGCTCCTAGAAAGCCTAGGGGTGCAGACACGGACGCGCACCCTGCGAGGCTAAAGAGACCATTCAAACAGGGCAGAGACTGGACAAAGTTCTCGAGGCACGGGGCGGACCTCGGTTCGGTGAAGCATTTTAACAGAAGAAGCAAACTTACGACCCTAGGGAGCACATAGCTAGAGCCCTTCCTAGGGCCTTGGAGGGCCCTGAGGCTGAAGCTTTTTAGCCTGGTGCTAAATCTGCCTCCCTGAGGCCTACGAAGACGTTCAAAGTCTGAGATACTGAGACACTGAGAGACCAAGACTTGGGTGCACCGAGGTAGAAATCTTTAGCGTGAAGGACCCGCTAGAACAGCTCCAGAGCTACAGAAATACCCCTCCCCTTCCCCAACCGTAAAGACAGCAGCCCAAGGGTGTAGAGAGTGGAGGCTAGAGTTTCCTGGAGGAAAGAGACCTACGTGCGAGCTGACAGCTCCAAAACACACCTCGAGAGCCCCAGGCCTGACAGAGTGGAGGCAAGGCAAGGGGGAAATTGACTCTCAGCCAGCCCATCCCCCAGGAGGCAGAGGACCCGAGGCAGTAAGGCTGAGATCAAGAAAGAGCCTCGTGCACACACAGTCACCGAGACAGCGCCAGCTTATTTTTAAACTCAAATCTTGGACGCGCTGCTTCAGCCCTGGGGGACCTAGGGTGAATGAACTGTTCCTCTCCTGTCCTCAGAACAGCTGCTGGATCTGTTCCCCACTCCACTTTCCCCTAAACTGCTTTGACTTCCAGGCCTCTGCGGGCTGGGGGGTAGAGCTCACTTTGGGGTTGGTGCCTGGTAGTTGTGGGGGAGTGGAGAACTGACACCACACACACACACACACACACACACACACACACACACACACGGGATGACTTTATCCTCTTAAGTCTTTCCTGTCAACTCCTGCAAGTTAAGGGAAGGGTCTGCCCTGATTCTGACTCACAGCTGTGGAGCCTGGCCAGGGTCCTTCTGGACTGGGGATGGCAGGGGGCACAAAAGGGTTGAGCAGTTGGCATGGGTAATTGGAAAGACTTCTGGGTGTCTTCCAATGGCAGGGCTGGCTGCTGGGGAGGAGAGCCAGGCTCTTGTGCATCTCCTGTCCCCCTGCCCTTAAGAGCTGACCACCCTCTTCCACTTCTAACAGCATTGTTTTAGAGAGAGGAAAGCAAGAAACAGTTCCTGGCTGGGGGACAGGACATTTCAGCTCTTAATTCCTGAGCAGTCCTGGTCATACCCCTGGTCCATCCCTAGTGTCTTGTGCTTAACTGTAAAGTGGAGATATATTCTGACCTGCCTGCCTTTCCTGAAATCTGATGGACTGGTGGTAGGGTGGAGGGGGAATGTTTTTTGTGAAGGACAGGGCATCATATAGGTGTGTTCACCTGTGTATTACCCATATGTGAGGTCTTAGAGTTTCTCTCCCTGGAGTCAGGCTGACTGAGCTAGAGCTACTGCTGGCCCCAATGGTTCAATACCTCAGCTAGAGCCACAGACCTCATCTCCTGTTCTCTTTTTCTCTCAGCCTACACTGAGAATGTCCAGGTCACAGTCCAGGCCAGCTTCTGACCCAGGTCTGCCTGAGACCTGTGGTCTCGCTCCAGAAGGAGTGAGTGAGGGACTTGTAGTAAAAATACAAATGGCTACCACTTACTTGGGACCTATTAATCTTCCGGGAGCTTTACTGGAATCATCAAAGTTAAGCCTGACAACAATCCTAGGAGAGAGGAGGTAATATTATCTCATTTATTAGATGGACTAACGGGCTCAGGGCACAAAAGGGATGTGCCCAAGGTCAAAGGATTCAGAGTTAGGTTTATCTTTTACAACTCAAGCAAGCTACTATACACTGCACACCATACAGGCAGGTATACTGCCATTTTAAGCTTCAGGAGGCATAGTGGTGTGGGTGTGGTGTGTGTGTCTAAGTCAGGTATAGGGATGTGTATGTTGCCAGGACAGTGGATGAGAACCATCTGGAGATCCAGCTGTCTCCTCTGAACCCTGCCCCCTTCCAGCCAGAAAGGAATACAAGATTGGCTCTCAACTTAACCTTTCAGTCCTCCAGCCTTGCCAAGGAAAGGGGAGGGATTTGGGAAGAAGAGGGATAGAGACAGGGATGGGCAGGGACAGGTGGGCCTTGATGGTGTCCTTCACTCTGTCTTCATTAGAGACCAGTTGGATAGACTAAGGGATTGAGGGATTCTGGGAAGGAAGTAGAAGCCACTCCCATATCCTATTTGGGGTGCCTCATCTTGGAGTAGTAACTGGCTCTCAAGAGGTGGGTCCAAGGCTAGCCTGGGCCTGGGAAGGTGATTGTTGCTTTTGCTGCTGGCCGGGCCAGGAAGGAAGGAAAAGACCCAGGGCACTCCCTGGTGGACATGACCACACTCCACCTGTATGGCCCCCTGCTGTCCAGTAGCTGGCAGCCCAGACAGTCTTCAGATCCTAGGCCAGAGGAAACTCCAACCTGAGTGGTAGGGAGGGAACCGAGCCTCCACCCTCGATCATAGGCAGTACCTGAAGACTCTCTGCTCTGAAGATTCCAGCTCAAATGGCTTCAATCCCTGCCTGGGCTATAAACCAGGTTTCTCCTACTTTGTGGAAGGGAAACTTCAAACTCATAAGCCTCAAAAGGCAGGCCTTCCAGGTTTGGGCCATCAGTAGTTCCTGAAATCTCAAACTCTAAGCTGGATCAAGGCTGCTGATGAGAATTTCCCTCCACTCTGGCTGAGAAAAGGAGGGTTTTTCTTCACCTTAAGTGAGAGTAGACTCTGAGACTACCTGTCTACTGGAGTCTGTGTAAGGGAAAGAGGTTAGTGGGTTCCTTTGTACATCCGTTCAACTTCCCAAGGCTCCTGCAGGCCATGTCAGCATCCCCTTCCTGTGGGTCCTGGAGGGTCTTCTGCACCACCAGAGATCCCAGCCTTTAGAGAGCATACTTCATGGTGGAGGAAGCTGGGACTAGGGAACTCTGACTTTAGGACTGGAGACTGGAATTGGGCAGCAGTGGGGACTAGGAACCCCATTTCCCTGGCCCCCCTACTACCCTTGCTCCTGTTCCAGAGGCAGCTGTGTGGATGACCTCATCCCACAAACATGCTTTGTTCCTGAGAAAATGGAAAGTGTCTGAGGTTTGGTTGGGGCTGGGTGTCTGCAGCAACAGCTCTCAGGGCTCCCCTTGTCTTACTCCCCACCAAGAGGGGACCTGACTGTGGAAGAAGGGTCTCCAGGGGCTTCTGCTCTCTCTCTTTTCACATCTCTGACCTCAAACCCTGAGTGATCAGGAAAGATAGCCAGAGGCTGTCCAGATGCTAGAAGAGGACAAATCATCACCCTGGGACAGGAAGGATCCTGGGGCTCTGCAGATCTGCCAGTAGAGATGCCTGGCAAGAGGTGGCAGGGGACACCCTGCCCTCTCTCCGTGTCTCCATTTCCCTTCTGCCTCCCCAGGCATCTCATGTTCCCCTTTTCTCTTGCTGGCGAAAGAAAAACTGACATCTGGCCCTCCGTGCTGCCACAGCTGCGGCAGATGTTACAGCCAAGACTGCCCAGACTGGTGTGACCAGAGACACAGTGTTGGGGAATGAAGCTGAGGGTCCAGCTGGGGAAGCCTGGCTGCGTCCAGCTTGCAGGATTTCCTTCCTGCCTTACCCTAGGCCGAGCCTCTCAAGCTCTTGTTGCTTGGCTGATTCTCCTGGGAGGGGAGGCTCGATTTCTCACAACCGCCCTCCACCATTCATCCCTCAAACATCTCTCTAGCATTCCACTGTTTCCTGTATCAGGAGAGGGGGGTCTTTCCCGGAAAAAGCTCATTCCACCCTCAAGATGACCAATCAGAGCTCTAAGTAAATGTCCCTTTATGCTTCTAGGGTCCCATCCTGACAGTCAAGAGGTAAGAGTGCTATATAAGGTAGGGTCGATGGCTCCCTGTTGTGGCCCTTGCCACCCCGGGACAGTAGGAACAGTGGAAGAGACCTCACACTGGAGCAGGAAATGACTCACTGACCCAGGAAAAGCCCCCTCCCGCCACCAGATCTGCCTAGGGCCTAGATAAAACAACTTCTTCCTGATTTTTTTTTTCCTGACCCCTTCCCACCCCCATGGTCAAATATAGAAATAAATATGCAAGAATCAAGCATGCACTGAACCTAGATTCTTGGGTTCCCAGGGCAGCCCCTCCCCATCCCCACCTGCTCTGATCTGGCATTTCCTATGCCTCCTCTTGCTCTTTTTTGAGTGCAAAGAGCTCTTGTCTAGGGCTAAGCTAGGGCCCTTCTCAGTGAACCGTGCCCCATCTTGTGTTCCTAACAGGGCTCGCTCAACATCACCATGAGTGAGGCATTTGACTGTGCAAAGTGCAGTGAGTCCCTGTATGGCCGCAAATACATCCAGACAGATAGTGGCCCCTACTGTGTGCCCTGCTACGACAACACCTTCGCCAACACCTGTGCTGAGTGCCAGCAGCTTATTGGGCATGACTCAAGGGTAAGCCCCAGACCAAGCAGGGCAAGGAGGTGCAGGCTGGTGGGAGGGGGCCAAGGATAGCTCCACTAGGCTTGGGTGCCAGTGCCCTTGCCACATCCTCGCAGGAACTGTTCTATGAGGACCGCCACTTCCATGAGGGCTGTTTCCGCTGCTGCCGCTGCCAGCGCTCCCTCGCCGATGAACCCTTCACCTGCCAGGACAGCGAGCTGCTCTGCAATGACTGCTACTGCAGTGCCTTCTCTTCACAGTGCTCTGCCTGTGGGGAGACTGTCATGCCTGGTACGTCCCTTCTCTCATCCTGGGTGGGACCTGGCATGCCTAGCATCTGAGTAGGGTCTTTGCCTATGCCTGTCTGATTTGTGCACGGAGGCTTGGCATGGGTAGAGACCTATACAGGCTGCATGTTCTTGGAACACCTGTGGATCTGCTGTGCATGTGTGCTCTTGAGAGCTTAGTGCACATAGTGATTGCACCCCCAGCTCTACAGATGAAAGCTTGGCAGATGGAGAAACTGGCAAGCTCGGTCCTTTCTGCTTGGCTTAGTGTGTATTGGACCAGTAACACTGATGTACACTTAAGGACTTACCATGTATAGTTCAGCTGACATACTTGATACATACATAGGCCTTAGCAGAGTCAGGCCTGTGTGTTTGGTACATGTGGGAGCTAAGGGGGTGCTTAGATTTCTAAGCATTTTTTCTTTTTTTTGTCTTTTTTGAGACACAGTCTCCCTGTAGCTGAACTCACAAAGATCCCCCTGCCTCTGCCTCCCAAGTGCTGGGATTAAAGGCGTGCACCACCATGCCCAGCTTCTACACTTTTTATGTGCAGAGATCAAACTGTAGCCTTAAAATGTATGGTGACCAGCTGGGTGTGGTGGCACACACCTTTAATTCTAGCACTCAGGAGGCAAAGGCAGGTGAAACTCTGTGAGATCAAGGCCAGCCTGTTCTGCATAGCGGGTTCTAGGCCAGCCGAGGCTACAGGGAGACCCTGTCTCAAAAATACTAAAAATAATAATAAAATGAAATGTCTAGTGATCTGCGTGCCTAGTAGGTGTGTCAGGACTTAGCATGTTAGAGAATGACATACCTAGAACATTCGAGTACTTAGCATGTACTAAACCTATCATTACTAGGGCATTAGAGCCTTGTGTAGGCAGAGATCTTACATAAACTGTCATTTCTGGTGTATAATGGCTTACTACTTAGCATGTACTGAGACAACATACCTGACTGAGGCTTGATGTAAAGAGGCATAGAGACAACACATGTGCCTAGCATGTGCTGAACCATCATGTCAGGTTCGCAAGGAGAGGTTAGCATATACAGTATCCACAGTGGGGGTCTTGCCTATGCATGGATGCCACTCTGCTAAGATTGTAGGAGCAGTGGGGACAGCCTGGGGAGTGGGGTTGGCAGAGTGGTCCTCAGGAGCTTGGGACACAGCTTCTAAGTGGGATTTCTCTTCCCCACAGGGTCTCGGAAGCTGGAATATGGAGGCCAGACATGGCACGAGCACTGCTTTCTGTGCAGTGGCTGTGAACAGCCACTGGGCTCCCGTTCCTTTGTGCCTGACAAGGGTGCTCACTACTGTGTGCCTTGCTATGAGAACAAGTTTGCTCCTCGCTGTGCCCGCTGTAGCAAGGTGGGGGCTGGACCTGCAGGTTGGGGTAAGACCTGTAGTTGGGTGGGAATCCTCACTCCCCTGCTGATGGATGATGCCCCCACAGACGCTGACCCAGGGTGGAGTGACATATCGTGATCAGCCCTGGCATCGAGAATGTCTGGTCTGCACTGGGTGCCAGACACCCCTGGCAGGGCAGCAGTTCACATCTCGGGATGATGATCCCTACTGTGTGGCCTGTTTTGGAGAACTCTTTGCACCCAAGTGCAGCAGCTGCAAGCGCCCCATCACCGGTGGGACCAGTGGGGAGGGTGCAGGTAAGAACATGGATGTGATAATAAGTAAGGCTGAGGGGCAGGAGTGCCCCAGAGCCACAGAGCTAACTTCCAGCCTCCCTCCAGGTGGAGGCAAGTATGTGTCCTTCGAAGACCGACACTGGCACCACAGCTGCTTCTCCTGTGCCCGCTGCTCCACCTCCCTGGTGGGCCAAGGGTTCGTACCGGATGGAGACCAGGTGCTGTGCCAAAGCTGCAGCCAGGCAGGGCCCTGAGCAAGGTTCCTGGGTCTCTGATTTTCTAAACCAGGGCTTCAGGACTATGGCTCCTTTTCTGAAACACCTTTGGGACCCAGCCCCTCCCTAGAATGGGGCTCCCCCTGGCCTCCAGGATTCAGTCTCCCAACTCCAACATGCCCAACTGGCACTCTCTAACCAGACCCCCAAACTGGACTCTTGTAGAACTTCCATGACTTAAGCCCTCACTCCAGTCTGGATTCCAGAAATGAGTCCTCCCTTCTATAGGTCCCAGACCAAGCTCAAACTCTCTCCCCAGATTAAGGCTATAGATTCCTCCCTGCCCCTAAGCCCTCCAAAACCTGGATTATGGGACCCAGACCCCCTTAAATCTGGGCTTTCTGCATAGATTTTTAGGTCTCCTGTGGGTCCCTGAGAAGCCCTCAAAAGTAGACTGTACCCAGGTTTGACCTTACCCCCTTCCCACCTCTGTACCCTGGGCTGGGGCTGTCTGGGTAGCAGATCAGGGACTCACTTGGTAGAGGGTCCTAAGGTACAGAGTACTGTCCAGCCTATGGGTATCATTTTATTTCAGCTCAACTTTACCCAGAGGTAGGCAGAGGTGGGCGAGGGAAGTTGGCTCACACACCCCCACCTTCCAGATTCTACAATAAAGCCCTGTGAGGAAGCACAGGCCTCTGTGTGTTTGTTGGAAGGGTAAGGGAAGAAGTTCCTTGGCAGAGTCAGTAAACCTCCTGGTGGGCGGGCAATGGGGTTGGGAGTCTCTCCTAGGAAGAGGATCCCCCTCAGGCAGCCAGTGGCTAGCCAACCCCCTGCTGTCAGAGGGTTTTTTTTTTTTCCCCCCCTCTGTGGGGAAGGGAGGGGTTGGGAGAGATGCCAAAGGGAGACGGGTGGCAGTGGGTTTCTTGGTATGGTTACACTTCGCCCCCTCCCCTGACACCCCAATCCAGACGTACAAGCCCGGGGTTCTGATCCCCAATCGGGCCCAGACCCTCAGCCCCCTTCCCCCTCTACCAAGGATTAGTGGGGGCGGCTCGGGATCCGCTCACGGCCGCACGTTTTTTGCCAAAAAAGGCAAGGATGCAGCTGCACGCGCTGCGGGAACATCTGGATCCGATTCCCAGCATGAATGGGTCATGGCCCCGCCCCCCATGATTCACGGGCGGGGGCGGGAAGCAGCCGTAGGGGCTGTCCCCAGAAGTGGAGAGATGGGGCGGAGCGTTCCCGCGTCCTACGCCCCTGCTGGCCGGCTCTGCAGCGGAGAGCTGGGCAGGTACGCGCCGCGGGTGGCTGCAGCGCCCTGCGGAGGCGGAGACGCCGGCTTGGGAGGTGGAGCCCCGCGAGACTTTAGTGTCTCCAAAAATCCTCCCGAACCGTGGCCGGCTTTACCATTCCACAGAGGTACGCCCCAGAGTCTGCTGCCCAAAGTTACCAGAAGATCCCGGATTCCCTAGTGCCGTGCACTAGGTTACCTTTTTTTTTCTTTTTTTTTTTTTGAGATGGAGACTTAGCACGTAGCCCAGCTGGCCTAGAATTTGCTGTGTAGACCAGACTGACCTCGAACTCACAGAGATCCGTCTGCTTCTGCTTCCCAGGTCTCACTATGTAGCCAAGGCTACCCAGCCTTCTCAGTACTAGGGCAGTGGCACGCTAGGATAACAGGCGAGTGCCACCCAGGACACCTAACTCCATAGTTGTTTTCTTAATTACATTTGAAATTTTGATTTGGGGGCAAGGGGAATGACACACATGCCATAACGACCTTGCAGAGATCAGAGGACAACCAGAGACAATCAGAGCTCTCTCCTTCCACTATGTGGAGGTGGGGGAGGGGGTCTGAGCTCAGGTACCCAGGCTTGCTGGCAGGTGCCTTTACCTGCTGAACCATCTTCCCAGCGGGACATCTTCAACAAATCCTTATGAATGTCCATACATACATTCTTAGAACAGTTATGTTTCTCCAATCAGCGAGAGGCCTCTGTCTGCCTTACTCGGACCTACCTCAGCCCAGCACTTGGGAGCGTAGAAAATAGCTGTTGAAAGACCCAGAGGCCTAAAAACATGCAGTGCTTTGGGGAAGTACAAGTAATTGCATGTGGTGAAGTGCTGAGCTACTAAAATGGCAGGCAAAGCCCAGGTGTCAAAAGCTAAATGTCATGCTGATCTTGTTGGCACACACCTTTAATCCCAGCACTTGGGAGGCAGAGGCAGGCAGATGTCTATGCGTTCAAGGCCAGCCTGGTCTACACAGAGTTCCGGTACAGCAAGGGCTATAGTGATAAACACATATATGTTTATACCAAGTGTCAAGTTAAACAAACTTCTATGAGTAGAGCAGCCCCTGGAGATATTTAAGCAGGAGCATTTGAGAGTAAGGGTGAAAAAGATCCCTCTGGCTGCATCCTCAATAATGAATTAGGTAAAATGAGCGGGCTGTCCAGAGCACTAGTGCAGTGGGCCAGGAGAGAGACCGTGAAACAAGTAGCAGCAAGAGGTAAAAGGACTTGGTGACAGGTTTGAGGGAAATGTGTGTGGAGTACAGGCATGAGTGGTGGAGACAAAAGGCTGGAAAATCAGGAGTTCAAGGTTAGCTTTGGCTACATAGTGAATTTGAGGCCAGCTTGGCTCCATGAGACCCTGTCTCTAAAATAAAATAAAATAGCTGGGCATGGTGGTGTATACCTTTAATCCCAGCACTTGGGAGGCAGAGGCAGGCGAATCTCTGTGAGTTCAAGACCAGCCTGGTCTACATAGTGAGTTCCAGGACAGCTGGGGCTACAGGGAGACCCTGTCTCAAAAAAACCAAAAATAAAATAAAGTAAAAGCAATGCATGTATATTAAGGAGGAGGGGGAGGGGGGAGGAGGAGGAGGAGGAGGAGGAGGAGGAGGAGAAAAAAATGCTCTATTTGGGTATATAAAATTTCAAGGGATTGGGGATTTTAGTTCAATGATAAAGCATTTTCCTAGAAAGCACAAGCCTTGGGCTCATCCCCAGCACACACACAAAATAATTAAAATAACAAAATAAAGTAATAAAAGCATTTTCTTCCTGTGCCAGATCACCAAGGCTATTTCCTCAGGAACAGCTGCTGTTTACTGTTGCTTGGATGTCCTTACAGAAATCTTTTCTTCAAAAAACTTTTTAATTTATTCATTTATGTGTGTCTGTGTGAATATATGCATACCTGTATGTGTATGCATGCATGCACATGTACCTGTGTACACACAGAAGCCAGAATGGGGCATCAAGTGTCCTCTGTCACTCTCCAACTAGCCCTTTGAGACAGTATCTCTCCCTTAACCTGGGGCTCATGTTTTCTCAGCTAGGCTGGAATCCAGCACACTAGTAATCCTCCTGTTCCTTCCCCCTTTAGAGCTGGCTTTACAGGATTGTGCTAGGATGCCCAGTGTATTACTTGGTACCAGGAATTCTGGTTCTGATTGTGTAGCACAAGCACTCTTAATCACTGAACTATCTCTTCATTTGGAAATCATCTCTTCACACATCTATTTTTGGACATCCCATTTTGTGCATCTACCTTTTCTCATGTGGAGTGGCATTTATCTGTATGAGTTCACACAGATTTTTGAGGAAAAAAAAATTTTTTTTGGTCTTTGTGAGACAGGGTCTCCCTGCAGCCCCAGCTGACCTGGAACTCACAGAGATCTGCCTGCCTCTGCCTCGGGAGTGCTGGGATTAAAGGTATTCACCACCACACCCGGCTAAATTATAGCAAAGTTGATAGAATTGCAAATTGTCACCTTCCTAGAAAAGGATGCCTTGTGTAGTCACTTCTAGTCACAAGCAACCACTCACTGACCTACTCTCTGTCTCCATAGATTCACTTGTCATTTGGACAAACACTAGTTAAGGGTTTTGTTTTTTGTTTTGTTGTGGTTTTTTTTTTTTTTTTTTTTTCGGTCTTTTTGAGACAGGGTCTCCCTGTAGCCCCAGCTGTCCTGGAACTCACTATGTAGACCAGGCTGGTCTTGAACTCTAAGAGATCTGCCTGCCTCTGCCACCACACCCAGCATGAATCGCATTTTATTTAATGACTCCCCTGCTGATAAACAATAAGGTTGTGGGCTGGAGAGATAGCTTAATGGTTAAGACCACTGGCTGCTCCTGCAGAGGGCAGATTCAGTTCCCAGCACCCAGGTGGCAACTAACAACCATCTATAACTCCAGTTTCAGGGGATCCAACCCTCTTCTGGCCTCCACAAGCATTGCACACAGGGTGCACTTACATTCATGCAGTCAAACACTCATCTACATAAAATAAAAATAAATTTAAAAAAATAACGAGGCTGTTTCCACCTATGAATTTTGTTAACAAAAACATCATTTCCATTTTACTGACACTAAGTCTAGACAGGAGAAAAACATCATCAGAGGTCACACACTGAAAACTAGAGACTCAAGTTCCAGCTTCCCAGTTCCCATTGGTACTGTTCAACTACTCAGTCCAAGCAACTGTCCTTCAGGCCAGTTAATCCCAGCAAGCCCCACGCAGCCAACTGGGCTCCAAGATTTTTCAGGCCTTCTAGAGGCACCTTCCAGCCTCTGGACATCCCTCCGCCACACCTCCGGCCAGCAGAGGGCAGTGTTGTCACTGCAGCCAGCAGCACCCACTCGTTCTCCTCCTGGTGTTCCTTTTTTCTTGAGTCCTCCGAGGCACTTCCGGGACTCACGGAACTTTGGTGCAGCCGGATGCACCGCGCTGGGACGCGGGCGCGCAAGGCGGCAGGCGGTGCTTCCGGCCGTGTTGGTGGTCTGAATAGAAGCGCTGCAGCCAAGGGAAAATGGAGACAATTCTGGAGCAGCAGCGGCGCTATCATGAGGAGAAGGAACGGCTCATGGACGTCATGGCCAAAGAGATGCTCACTAAGAAGTCCACGGTGAGTGGGGCCTGCCCTGGGCCTCATCCGGAGCTGGGCCGCGCGGTCCCGGGCTGAACCCCAGCGCTCTCCTCGGCCTCACACCCTCCCCGCTGCCCATCCTCGCCTCGCTCTGGGCTGCTTCCGCGCACTTGGCCTCACTAACGTCCTCCTAGGGCTCAGCAACCACCTCTGCTTCGGCTGCTGAGACCTAAGCCAGTAAATTCCGCCTTCGGGTGGCCTTTCAACCCCTGAACTCAAAGTAACGGCGCCTGTGTTTCCCTTTGCCTTTCAGCTTCGGGACCAGATCAATTCCGATCACCGCACTTGGACCATGCAAGATGTGAGTGCCTCTTATGTCTGCTGTTCTTTGGTTCGGGCTGGGCTGGAAAAGAGCAGGCAGGGAAGGTGCAGAGGCTCAGTTGAGCCCTGATCCAGGGTGCCTAGGTTAGCCTGTCTCAGGTTGTTCCCATGCATAGATGTCCTACGGCTGCACTACTGTTCCTCCGCTACTCTGAGTGGGAAACTTATTCTTTGTTGCTCAGAAAGATGTCGTGTACAGTGCCTTGTAGCTCTCTTGCATGTGAAAGATATTTCTAAGGAATCCTGGCAAAGACGGTACTTACTGTCTCTTGTCTTCGAAAATAGGGGTGTACTGTAGATCAATATTTTCCTTCCAGGACACTGTTTTGAAGTACTTATGACTAACACTGTTGATAATTATTAAAGTTGGGTAATGGCTAAATGGAAGTTTATTATAGTATAATTCTACTTTCTTTTCCTTGAGCCAG